TAAGTTTGATTTTTCACCTGTGTAGCTTTCAAAACTATGTACCTTCACTAAACTTCCAGCCTTAATAGTTGTTTACAAAGTGAATTCTTTTCACAACAAACATTGTAAAACAACCCTCCTATATTTGCACTCCATAGAAAAATTCAGTTTCCATAGATTCACAAAATTATGTCACATATTCAGAAATAAGAGCCATTTGTGTATTATTACCTTCACTTCCAGCTGGTTGAATATAAACTCAATCACAACATCATCTTCAAACCCAAGGATTTCCGTTACTCGTTTTGTTATCCAAGGCTTTATAACCTCCAAATTTACTTTGCTCATATCCACCTGATAAAGCATACAAGAAATGACTGAGTACAGGGTTCACAATCCTAAAAGAAAGCTCACTGAAGAGTTTTGCCCAACAAAATTCCTTTTAACCTATGAAATTTTTTTGGTGTAACACGCTACAATATGGCTCATTCTTATGTGGCTGTGCTATTCTGTGTTGTTGTTGCTAAAAGGTGGAAAATGTTTAACGGTCCCAAAATGAACCAACTGTGCTATAAAGGTGCAAAAACAGTTTTATCTAGAAGAATACCTTTTTTTCTAGGCATTCTGCAAATTTCAGCTGCTTCAGTAACTTCTTCTGTTTGTTGCTGAACCGATTATCCTGTTCTGCACTTGTTCCCTGTGGGAAGAGAAACACATTTTAATTAAGAGTTCAAAGTTAAATTCCTGATTTTTGTCAGTTAATCATGGCCATGACCTTTACAGTAGAAATAGGGTAATCAAGTAAATAGAAAACACCACAGCTAATATTCATAGGTGCAGAATGCATACTTTTTTCCCAATGAAGCTGACATTTTAAAAATTTGACTGTATTTAAAAATTACAAAACATAAACTTGTTGTAACAGGTCAATATGGCAATATTGCATAAAGCTAGCACCTCCCCCACAACCAAGTTAAGTTTGATGTGTATCTTTTTACACCTTTTTCTATGTTAAAAGACATTTAAGGCTTTTTTGTGTAAATAAGAACACACTGAAATATTTACTATACTTAATATACTTCCAAACAACACCATTAAATTTCATCCTCTTCTGAAAACCAGTAGCAATGCTTGCAAATTATGGTCATGCCTATGAACAAGCGGAAAAGGAAAAAGAAAACACCCTGGGACTGTATGTTGGTTTTCATAACTTTGAGAACATGGAATCTGTTACAGGTCTACCCTAATAATTAACTTAATTTCAGCAATAAATTTGGAAAAATGAGAGCTTACAAATACTACATGAGATTATCAAGTGATCACTAGTTAATCTGCATTTTCTCATTCCAAGTGGACCAAATAAAAAAATAACTGGCTATGTGATGTGAAATCTGATTGGTTCACGGAGTTGGCCACTGTCCCTTGGAAAGTGATCGGGAAAATTTTTAGGAAGGTAAAGAACCTGGATTAGAATCCCAATTCTGCCACTACTTAAGCCACATGACTCAAAGCCCATTACTTAACCTCTTTTACAATGCTTTCTTACTTGCTAAAATCTACTTTGCAGGGCCGTATAACTCAAAATAATATATGAAAAGTAACTGGCATGTGCCAGAAGTTCAACAAATGAAAGCCATCATTTTGATCTTAAATGAAAAATTCAGTTTACTATCTTGTTGGCAGTGTACTAAAAAGTAATTGCCCTAAATTATTGCAACTCAGTTTAAATCCAGTCAACTCCTTGAAGAAATTATAGGTAGTATACAACTCCCCCTCCTTTCGTCCAGGTTTTTAGTAACACCAAAAGCAAACTTTGTCTTAAAATTTATCAACCACCGGGGTGCCTGGGTGGTTAAGCGTCTGACTTTGGCTCAGGTAGTGACGGTCCATGAGTTCAAGCCTCACAT